TAAATTTACTTTGGAGTTAGGCAGAGCTACACTTTCACTTTTACCTACGTGTGAAAGTAAGTGAATATTTTTAAAAAGGAGTTTAAACAATTTATATACTTGAACAATCCAAATAGTTATGACTTTTTGAGAACACCTACCCTCCCTGCCAATCCCTCCCTTAGACGGCAGTCTTAGCTGCTGCTCCTAATGTTCAGTTCTCTGCTCCAAATAACCTGCTTATCCTGCAGCTTTATTTTTTGGTTTTCCATACTAGTTAGGGACACAGTATAGAAGCTGAGGATTTCATATTTCTCTGAACATTTTCTATTCCTGTCTCAATCTCACCCTCCCTGTAGCTTCTAGCTTGGTCACCATTTTGATTAAATTAACATCCAGAATTTACATCAGTATTGTGAGCTATGAAAAGATAACTAGCAACTGAGCCTTGTAGCATTTTTGGTTGCTGGTAGTTTAAAGCAAAAAAGCCACATTTAAAAATTTGAATAGTCTTGTAATTTGGAGCAACCCCTAGGGTTTTGGATGGAGGCATACCTCTGTCTTGCCCTCCCTCCCCCTGAAGGCCTCCTAGTAGAGGGCTCTGAGAGCTCCAATGTGGACCCCTGGGGAAGTTAACTCAGCGATGCTTCACACCAGCCCAAAAGGCCCTGTACACGACTTTCGTTTGTTGGGCCATATCTTTTATTCCACATCTTCTTTTGCTTTGCTTTAGTTTTTGTTTTGGGGAGCTCATCTTTCAAGAACTTCAAGAAAGGGGAAAATCAAAGGCTAACTTTTTGTCTTTATGTACTTTAATGCTGATAGTTTGGCTGGGTATAGACTTCTAGCCATGGGGTCATTTCCCCCAGCTTTGGGAACTGCTCTATCATCATCTAAGACCCATTGCTGCTATGGGGAAGTCTGATGCCAATACACTTCCTGGTCCTTCACAGGTGAGCCCCTCCCTCCCTCCTTCCTCTCTGCAGCTTTTATATTTATCTTGTTTTGAGACTTCACAAAGATGTTGTCATAGTTTTTCCTTTTTTGCAATACTGGGGATTGAGCCCAGGGAGCCCTGAGCTACATCTCTAGCTCTCTTTCTCTCTCTGTCTTTTTTAAAACTTTGAGACAGTCTTACTAAGTTGCCCAGGTTGGCCTTGAACTTGCCTGAGACTTATGAGGAGCTGGGGTTACAGGTATGTGCCATTATGGCAGACTGATTGTTTCCTTTGTGTTAGGCATTGACACTTCCTAGCCTTAGATCCCCCCCCTTTCTGGAACTGGGAATCAAACTCAGCAGCTTGCACTTGCCAGGCTGGCCTGGTACCACTGAGCTACATCCCCACCCACTACCCTTAGATCTTCATGGAGGTTTTTTGTTTTTGTTTTTTTGCATTACTTCCTGAGTCATACTTTTTTCTGTGTTCTTTCTCTGTGCCAATTGGAAATTGTACTTTTTTCTTCTTTTTCGAGATAGAGTCTTGATATTTAGTTCAGGCTGGCCTTGAACTCACAGCAATCCTCCTGCCTCAGCCTCCTGAGTGCTGGGATTATATGCATGAAACACCATGCCTGGCTTGTACTTGCTGTTTTAATCTTATAAATTTTCTTCCTTCTTTTCCCTAATGCCTTTTTCCCCTCTGCTTTCTGGAAGATTTCATTGGCTTGATTTTTCAATCCTTTTCTTGAATTTTATTTCTTTATCAATTTTTTTCCAAGTGGTTTTTCTTTGCTGCCTGAATTTCACCTGTACTTAAGTTCATGGAAACCAGTACCTTCTTCCTGTGAGGAAACCCCATAGCTTCATGCAGGAGTAACTGTGGAGATATCATGGGGACAGTGCTCCTGAAGCAGGCAGCTGTGCTCAGGGTGGGTGACCTTTGGACCCCAAAGCACCCGGGTCTTCACTCATCCTACGTGTCAGTTCCTGGTATGGTGTGGTGTGTCCTGCTCTGTGTGGTGTGTCCTCTTAGAAAGTATAACACACACCCACCCACACGTGCACACACACACATGCAGGGTCTGTAGTCACAGGCCATCTTCACATCCTGCCAGAGGGCATCAGCGCTCAGTAGGACCCCACCCTGCCTGGAGATGCTCCCTGAGAGGTGGGAGGACTTGTGTGTGAGGTTCAGCAGGGCCGTTTCTGACACCATGCTCATGCTGTCCAGGTGATACATCAGTACCGGGGGCCCCAAGGTTTACCGATAGCACTCTCAGGCAAGGTGCCTAGGAGCTCAGTGGGACTTCTGTCATGGTCCCCCAGACACTGCCTGCTCCAGGCGGAGGCTGGGTCCAGTCTTGGAGGGGTAGACATAGTGGGAGCAGGAAGAGGAAAGGAGTCGGGGTGTAGAGGGGTGGCCAAGGCCTGCTATGTGGGGTGGAAGGAACGCAGGAGGGCAGTCGGGCTGCAGCCGTCTTACATCCCTGCAGCAGGGCCTCAGTTTTGAGTGGTCAGGCAGAGACACAGGACCAGGGATCACTTACTTTCCCTCTGGCCACAGGGACCATGGCCAAGGTGCGCCATCTTCTGGCAGCCAGTGCAGTGTCCTTCTTCCGGAGGTGGCTGAGCTGGGCAGACTCCAACCAGGGTCGGGTGTTGGGGACACAGAAAGAAGTTTGGGCAGCCTGACCCTCCAGTGGTGGTGGGGAGCTGAGCTCCCAAGGAAGCAGAGTCCTCTACAGAGGCAGGCGACCCCTGCTGCTGCACTGAGACCAAAGGAATGGGGCCCTGTGGACTCAGAGCCCAGGTAGGGTGAATACAAGGCTGTGAATATAGCGATGTAAAGGAGGCATCTGCCTGGCACTGTGGCCATAGTATGGCAGTGGCGGCAGGGACAGGAGGGCCTGGTAGATGGTACACTGGGAGGTGGGAGTGAGCAGGAGTTGGGGCAACTGAACTGGGAAGTGGATGAGCAAATCAAAGATGGAAACACCAGGGAGGCTTCCTGCCTCCCCTCCGCAGCCCATCCACCACTTGACTGTGGGTCAGCCGGTGCTGGCCGAGGTGCTGAAGCCCTGGTGTGGCACAAGGCTGGGCTCTGGGCCCGGGGTTCCAGCTGGGAAGGTGGGGCCGGGCCCAGCCCAGCAAGGGTCCTCACACTACAGTGGCCTGGCCGCGCTGGTCTCTCTGCTTGAAAAGCTTCTCAGTGCCCCGTGTCCCACAGCCCACTGCCCTGCTCTCTTCCGTCTGGGGATGCCCATGTCAGGGCCCAGCCCCCCCCAACAAGCTGCTGTTCTAAGGCTGGGTGCTGGGGGCACAGCGGCAAGGAGGATCAGTGACATTGTCATCTAGGACTGGTGGGGTCATGTGAGCAGTTACTGTCAAGGGGCAGAGCAGAGCTCAGCCGTGGTAAACGCTGGCCCAGGCTCAGTGAACACAGACTCCTCCCCGAGCAGGCCAACACACCCAAAGAGCTGCGGGAGCCAGGTCTGTTGATGCTGAGTGTGGGCTCAGAGTTCTGTTGTTGGGGTAAAAGTAGCAGTTGAAGCAACCCCTGAAAGAGACCCACCAGAAGGGCGTCACAGGGAAGGAAGCGTCTGCCTGGCCCCAGCCTTCAGGCAACAGTTCCATTTCTCATGTCCCTGCCAGGGCACAAATGTTCCTTAGAAGGATGGGCGTGGCCCACGGGGTGCCTGCCCCTGTGTGGTCTGGGGCACTGTCCCAGGAGGCCCCTTCCCGCCTTCTGCCCGCTGTCCTGGAGGTGCATGGGACAGGCCCTGCGGCAGCTCAGAGTTCTTGCTCCCATGAGCCCTGGAAGCCTCCTCACCCGCCAAGGGCTGGCAGCAAGGACAGTGCCCCTCCTTCAAATGCCAATTGGGGTTGGGACAGGTGGGCTGAGGGTGCGATTTGGGTTCCTGGGGGGCCCTCCACAGTCCTGATATCACCAGAAGGCTGGAGGGGGGTGGTCATCAGGGCTCTTCATGCCCAGTGTGGGAACCTGACCGCCCCAGCCTCCCTGAAATATTGCCATGAGGGTCTGATTGGAAGCAGAGCCCAGCAATGAATCCTGAGGAGGCTCTGCTCGCTTGCAGGAGGATTTTTCCGTTTTGTTCCCTTGGCCTAGATTTCCCCAGGGATAGTTTTGACTGCGGTCTCAGGCCTGGTAAATTAAATGTTAAAAATGCGCACAATGACTGCAATCAATCCACAGCGATGGGTGGCCGGCCTCCTCCCAGTCCCTGAACTGGGTGGGGGAAGCACAGGCAGGATGGTCCTCATTAGACCCTACAGTGGGGAGAGAGGCCCCCAAGGCCAGGCCGCGGGAACTGAGAGCAGGGCTGGGGAGAGCCCCGGGTATCCTGGCTTGCCCTGCTGTCTGTCCCAAGCCAGGGGTGCGGTGGGCCAGGGCAGGGGGCAGCTCCCGGGAGCTGGGAGGGGACTGGCAGGTGTAATTCGGGAGCCTGCGGTCTCAGATAAAGTGTTTATGACGAGCCTGTGGGGACAAATGGAGGAGCAGCTCTCCCGGCGCCAAGTCGGTGGAGACACCGTTCTCCGGTAGCCACGGTGGGCGGGGGGCGGTCAAGGGAGACCGGGAGATCGCAGGTCTGGCCCGCGGCGGCTGAAGGAGCAACTCGGACTCCGAGGTCCCCCGGGAGCGGGCAGGGCGCAGGGCAAGGTGTGAGAGCCGGCTCTGCAGCCTAGTCCCGCGTCCTGCGTGCAAGGCCCTCCGGCAGGCTCTCCTTTCGTTTCACGGCCATTCGAGGCCCCTCTGGCGCATCCTTGGAACCTTTGCCTCCCACAGACCTTCCTCGGAGCCCGGTTGACTTGGGCGTCCAGGCTGGGAGCTGCGCGCGGTAACAGGAGCGCATCCCGGTTGATCCGACGCCCCAGGATGAGTCTGACTGCGGCCATAATCTCTTGGCCCTGGGACGACGGGGAACAGCGGGAAGAGTCGAGGTCAGGGCCAGAGGGGGCTGCTGGTGGTGGAAGAACTGGGGTCCTGGAGTGGCAGCGTGGAGTCCGAAGGCCCAGGCTGGGGCGTTGTGGGCGCTCCTAGGAGCCGCCGGGACAGGTGCCCATGGCTTGTACGTGGTGGGGAGCACGAGGTCACTCAGCTCCCTAAGTGTCTTTGGGGACCGGGACACCAAGGCGCTGAGTCCAGGACTGGCAGGAGGGGAAAGGGCTGGACCGTGTTCCCTGTCGGCGCTGCCCTCCTGCACGCCTGTTCGGCACCAGG